CTGTATAAATCTTTCTACAGTGTGTTTCTCCATATGTTTTTTTTTTTTTTTTTTTTTTTTTTTTATATATGTACCGTAACTACTTATCTCTCTAAATCCATTTACATATTTCACGCATTTGCATATGTACACATTCATTAATGAAACTAAGAGAAAATATTCAGAATACAAGCAACAAAAATGAAAATATAATATAGACATGATTAGCACAATACCATTAATGGTAGCAGTGACAATATATATAACTTCTATAACATACTGAAAATTTATGAAAAATCTTATCCGCACACTGTAAATATATATTTCACATTTAGAAATAGATGCACTGTTTGGAACCGTATGGGTAAAAGGAGCCTCGCCCTGCATTGCAGAACATGATAAAAACTAGGGTGACCTTGTTCGGCGTTCAGGTTGGCGTTGCAGTATAAAAGGGTCAGCTACTGATTGACCGGCATCAGTTCTTTCTGAAAACACGTTGCCATGAACACCAAGGTACCTTCAGGTTAACAGTGCATGATCGTAATCCACTATTAGGGTTTTCATACAATACGTTCTGGGTAGTTGATATAAGAATATATATTCACAATAAACTGTTACTTAAACACAAAAGTTTTTATTTCCATGTTCACTACCGCATTATATTTTAGTTTAGTGATATTAATAAGTGACATGATAATCAAAGTTCGATCAATTCCAGGTCCTCCTCCTCCTCAGTTTGGCAGCTTTTGCCGCCGCAGACAGCTTTGAATCCTACGAGTACAGGCCACCACACGTAAGTTTTCCTTAGTTTCTTTATTTCCAGTTCTGCTCATTAAAATATTCATTAATGCTGAAATCTAACTAATGAATTACGTTGAAATAATGTTATACGAACATTACTTATCACAAACGATTTCAATCAATTCATCTTACAGAGGTCCTCTGAGGAGTCTTACGAGTCAGGTGAGGCCAAGTACGACTTCAACTGGGCCGTCAGCCACGATCCCTCAAGCAATGAATTCGGACACCAGGAAGCCCGTGACGGCGACCACACTCAGGGATCCTACTACGTGCAGCTCCCCGACGGCCGCCTGCAGACCGTCAAGTACTTCGTGGACGGCGACTCCGGCTACGTGGCTGAGGTCAACTACGAGGGCGAGGCTTCCTTCGAATCTGGTTCATCTGAATCTCGAGAATACAGATACGTGTACGACTCCAACGAGTCCAAGTAAACCACTAATCATGATCGAAATTTTCAATGTGTCAATGACCACCATAGGGTATATTATTTATTTTGTACAAATATTTATGTATTCATATGTATAAATGGCTGAAATCATGTTTGACTATTTATCTACACCAATATAAACTACAAAAAGATACAATTCGTGGTTACCAAATGATAGGCGAAAAATTATATACAGGATTGTAGCTCCAGGATCTCCCCGATTTCATTTTCAAACTAATCTGATGGAGCTGGAACTGGGATACCGGAGGATCCCATGTAGATTGCCCATTTTTAAGTTCTAAGGATCTGAAGATGAATCTGCATTTATGTTTATTATTTATTTTGTTGTCATAGTTGGGAATTCTTGATATAGGAAAATTCTTTCAGGAATTTTCTAATGTGCAATGAATAAGAGTCACAAAGGCATGCGATACCTTTCCTCTCGCAGATGGAGCATACAACTGAGGAAAAGGTCAGAGAAAACAGTTGGATTTCTCTCTCTCTCTTTTTTTTTTTTTTTTTTTTTTTTTTTTTTGCAGAGTGTGTCGTTAGCATGAAAGCTTTACATTTCATATATCAACTCAACTTTATCCTCCGAGGTGTAAATAATATTTTTACAACTGCCATTCGGCCAGTTTCGACTAAGGGTTGTATGTTTTAATTTTCTATGATTTTACGTTATATTTTCAAACCAATGTGAAAAAGAATGATTCATGCTAAAAAATCGTAAGTAAACCAACGAGGAGAAGAATAAAAACACATGAATATATGTAAAGGATCTTAAAATGGTGTATTTCGTTATTGGATTAATCACATTATCTAATAATGTTCTCGCTTTCATTAAAATAGGGTATAAAAAGAGGTTATAACCATCACTATATACATATTTACAAATGTAAACAAACAAACAGGAATCAGTGTAAATAACCACGTCCCAGCGAGCGTATCAAACGGCCCAGGTGTCAAGGGGCTTGTTTAAGCTTGGCGCTGCTCCGATTAACCTCGGGGGCACGCGAGGCAAAGTATCGTGGCGCCTGGCGTCAGCAAAGCCATGTATAACATATAAAAAGACTGGAAACAAGAAATGAATGGAAATATAATGAATTCAATGCACTTTCAATATGCCACGCTATGCGAATTAGCGTATTCATTAAAGGCTTTCGTGCTCACGAGGCGAGGGTCACAGTGTTCACTCGAACAAGTGGTATGGCAAAGTGACCGACTATATGGCAGAGTAAGAGTAAGGAAACTTACTTTTAAACAAAAAATAAACATGAATATATACATCCTTAATCTGTATAACTATTTGGCAATATTTTAGGAGCATTTTACAATCGGGTTAATAAGGTCTTCATTACTTATAAACCCGATATCACAGTATACAAATCAATTTATATATGGTAAATATAATCCCTTTACAATATACAATATTCTTGTGTTTCTTTTACTTCCCCTCGTTGTTTTATTGACAAACATATATGATATACATTTTTATCTATCTACATATATGTAAATATTTTTTAATCTATACACACACATATACACAAACACCTACACACATACATACATACTTAAAAATACACATATATATGAATATAGTTTATGAAAAATAAATATAAAAAATATGTTCAAGAGGCTAAACTACAGATGTAGCGCACAAATATCCTACTTAATACTTGGTGATATTTCCTACTTCTCGATGACCTTTTATGACCCTGAAATATCTACATCACCGAGTGTTAACTGTTTCTTTATTCTTTATCCTACACATAAAGACTAATTAACACGCATTTTTGCCGTGCCGAATTTTTTAAAAGCAAGATATCAAATAACGGTGCTGCATGGCAACAAGCGGGGCTTTCACGATAGATGGATGGTTATCCTTAAGTGATGCCCCTGTCGCTGAATGTGTTTTAAATATTTAATTAAGGTCGGTCGCAAGTGCAAACTGGCAGAGACTGCATCCTGCCTCGGTTATGAAGCAAATCAAGTAAGTTGATCATGATTAACTGCACAAACAAATTAGGAAAACATCACCTTCATCCTTCCTTTTTTTCCAGGAGGCTCGTGATGACGACCACACCCAGGGATCCTACTACGTGCAGCTCCCCGACGGCCGCCTGCAGACCGTCAAGTACTTCGTGGACGGCGACTCCGGCTACATGGCTGAGGTCAACTACGAGGGTGAGGCTTCCTTCGAATCTGGTTCATCCGAATCTCGAGAATATAGATACGTGTACGATTCTAATGAGTCCAAGTAAACCGCTAGTCATGTCTAAAATTTATAATTTGCGACTGTATATTATTTATTTCGTACAGTTGTATTTGTATTTACTTAAATAAATGATAATCATAATGTCTGAGTTTTAATATGGACCCAAGAAATAAATAGCTAAAAGAGTGAAAAAAAACTACGAAACTATATTTAAGTAAAGCGCTTTCCACGATCTTTCGCCTTATACTCATAGTGTATATTTACACACCCACAGGCATACACATACATACATACACACACACATACATACACACACGCATACATATACATGTGTATATGTATGTATATATATGTATGTGTTTATATATATATGAGACAGGTATGTAGATAGAGATAGAGTGTGCATAATGATAGAATCAACTTCAGACCTTAGGCGCATTCATCCTTACAACCAATGGTTTTCAAACGGTAGTGGAGAAATTATAGGATCTAGCTCCTGGAACTCTCAAAATTTCTCATGGTTATTGGGAAACATGAGATGCCAAAACAGAGGCCCACTTTGATGTACCAAGGATGTGAAAAAAAAATGCGCGCCCCATGACATAACTTCAGAAAAGGGGAGCTTGGAGAAATGTTAGTCATAGAAAGATTACCGGGACAACTCTGCAGAAAGCAAAGTTATAACGGATTCCTGTTCTTCAAGGTTATATGTCCTTGTATTGGAACCAGAACCTCTTGAATTGGAATAGGAAATTACCTTATATTTGTATATATAATATTTATTTAAGTGTACGTACATGTGTGTCGAATATATGTGAACATTTATTTCAAATTGGTTTCATAAAGTACTAATAATGGAAATAATGAAGGATGAGAGCAAACATAAACATTTATTTATAAACTTATAGTATGATTGGGTTAGCGTTTGTAGTATGAAACTGCCCTAGATTTTTTTTTACAATAAGCAAATGATATAAATTCTTCCTAATCAGAATCTTTTACGCGAAAGGAACAAGATTTTTTCTACATCTCAGAATCCCTGCCCACATAACATATACAACAAATACATATGACTAAATAATGTTAGTATATGGTTATTGGAACTTCAAATTGGGCATCTGCTTCGACATCTCCCGCTTACCCATTCGATGAGAGAGGTCAAGGGGAATTTAGGGAGATTCCTGGAAATTCCTCCCAGACCATTTGAAACCCCTGTTGTACGGATGAATATACCTAACGGCTGAAGTTAGGTTTCATTATGCATTCCCCCACTCCCTCGTTCTGTCTTTGCTTAAATGCGTGTACGTATAATAAATTCCCCCACCCATTTTTCCATCTTTCTCTGCTTATAAGAGTATGCATATATATATATATATATATATATATATATATATATATATTCATGTATATAGTGGATATGTACACTGATATACGTATATATATATACGTATAATCAGTGTACATATCCAATATATGAATACGTGCCAAATTAGTGCCAGTGTGCTTTATTTTAATATATATATCTTTTTATCTTTTATTTAGTAATTCAAACCAAGGGTGTATATTCAAAGTCAAACATAATGATTGTCATTTATGTATATATATGCTGATATGTTTCTACAAAATAAATAATGTATCTAATAGTGGTCACTAACACCTCACATATTTCAAACATGACTAGTTTTTCACTTGGACTCATTGGAGTCGTAAACATATCTGTATTCGCGAGATTCGGATGAACCAGATTCGAAGGAAGCCTCGCCCTCGTAGTTGACCTCAGCCACGTAGCCGGAGTCGCCGTCCACGAAGTACTTGACGGTCTGGAGGCGGCCGTCGGGGAGCTGCACGTAGTAGGATCCCTGGGTGTGGTCGCCGTCACGGGCCTCCTGGTGTCCGAACTCGTTGCTTGAGGAGTCGTCGCTCACAGCCCATTGGAAGTCGTACTTGGCCTCACCTGACTCGTAAGATTCCTCAGAAGACCTCTGTAAGAAAAATTAAATTCATTACTTATTAACGTTCGCATTACATTATCAGCACACTCCATAAATTGGATATCAACATTCATAAACCTTTGCTTTAATCATCAGGACAAGAAGGCAAGAAAAAAAGGAAAACTTACATGTGGTGGCCTGTATTCGTAGGATTCAAAGCTGTCTGCAGAGGCAAAGGCTGCCAAACCGAGAAGGATGAGGACCTGGAATTAGCCAAGTGTTAATTTGACAGTGAAGAAAACCAAACATTTATCAGAATGAATATATTTTCATATGTAAGCAATAACAAATTACATGAAAACCTCGAGAGTTTAAATTCTGTTTGATTTCGTTTTTATGAATCAAGTACCTTGGTGTTCATATTGGCGTTTCAGAAAGAACTGATGTCGGTCACTCAGCTACTGACCGTTATATACTACAACTAAACGTGAAGGCAGCACAAGGTCACTCAGGTACACTCAGTTCTTATTGGGTTTCTGCAACGCAGGGCGAGGCTCCTTTTATCCAAATGGTTGCATAGGAGGTATCTTTTGTTTTTTGATAGTGGAATAGTTTTGCAGATTTTTCCCCCTTATTAGACAACTGATTTCAGAGACGGCAAATAATATATATTAACAATAGTCTACATGGATATATATTTGTCACCATAAACATATACATGTATGTACATTATACATATGCATGTTATGAATATATATTTACACACACACACACACACAAACATATACATATATATATGCATATATGTGTGCGCACAGACACACACACACATGTGTGTGTACATGTATATGTGTGAGTGTTTGTGTACACACATATAGCCATATATAAATATATATGTATATATAAATATGTATGTAAGTATAAATATGCACATATATATGTATACATAGCTATATTATACACATACATATATATGAATATGCATACATATATATGAAAATGCATACATATTTAGATATATCAATTGTATATATACATACAAGTATTATGTATGTACATATATATACATACATATATGTATCATTTATGCAAATATCCTATGTTCACACATGATATATCACACACACATATATATGTTTATACATATGTATGTATATTTATGTATATATATATACATCCTATGTATGAATATATATATACACTTAGATAGATTGATGCACACACACACACATATGTATATATACATATATATATATATATACACATATATATTACATACACACACACATACACATACACACACATACACACACACACACACAAACATATATGTATGTATATATATAGAGAGATAGAGATTACATACAAACGCACACACGCATATATATATATATATATATATATATATATATTATATATATATATTTATATATATATATACATATATATATATATATAATATCCATATGGATAATTTATATGTATGTATATGTATATATATATATATATATATATATATATATATATATAGGTGTGTGTATATACATATATATATATATATATATATATATATATATGTGTATATATATGTTTATATATAAATATATATATATATATATATATATATGTTATATATATATATATATATATATATATATATATATATGTTATATATATATATATATATATATATATATATATATATGTTATATATATATATATATATATATATATATATATGTACATACATATGTGTACACATATAAGTACATATATATTATGTATGTATGCATGATGTATGTATGCATGATGTATGTATGTATTAATGTATGTATGTATGTATTAATGTATGTATGTATGTATTTGTGTATGTGTGTCTGTATCATATATTATGCTAAATAAGAATTTTATCTGATATTCATTTACCGGGACTTGAAATTTGCATGAACATAACTCTATTTCACAGAAGGAAGTTTAATCTATTTATATATCTGAGTGGAGGATAACAAAAGTAAGATTTATGTATATATATTTTTTTAATGATACAGAGTGAATAAGTCAAGGGAGGTTCGTAAGGAAAAAAACTGGTAGTAGAAATTTTGTTTTATTCCTTCAAAGAAAAGCTTCCGGCTCTTTGCATGGGAATATCAGTAATCTTCCAATCATGAAGAGTATGTTCTATGTCATGTAGTGTTGCATATAGAAAATAGTAATGATTTTTTTCTTCTATTTTTTTTTTTTTTAAAGGTTGACTTTGGTTATTTTAATTATTGCAAAAATATATATTTTATTTTGTTTACCTACTGATTTCTTGTTTGTTAAGGCAGCTCGGCAGGGTGTGTAGGAGGGAGAACGCTTGACTGTTGTGTTTTTGGAAAAGCATATATCTTTCGTTGCTAAAATTGCCTTTTGTTGTGGTTATTTTTTAAGTTCTGCTTGACTATTGTCAAATATTTTAAATGGTGCATCATGTATTATTTCCGATCGCAAAATTGTGGGTAATTGGTGTATGGTTTGCCTGAATAATTTTTTTTTTCTTTCTCTTTGTAGTACCTTATAATTCCTATTATAACTTTTACTCTGGCTTTCACTCTAAATCTGTCTAGATTTCATCGATATGAATTTAATATTTTTATGATGATGGGAATGAGCGTAAAAAGGGAGGGTATTTTTCGTATTTAAGTCTGGATTTCTATTTTATTGTCAACAAATATAGCAGATAGCACCTAAATGTTATTAATGATCAGATATCCATTTACTGAATAGTGATGTTAATGCCATTTAGAAGTATTAGAACATAATCATACAGTACTCCTAAGGGAAATTGTGGCAAAACGATATATGATGAACATCTATCTTCATATATATATATATGATTGTCTATGTATATATGAATGTGTATATATATATATATATATATATGTACATATATATACATACATATGTATGTATAGATATGTGTGTATTTGTGAGTATATATTGTATATATGTAAATATATATGCATTGCTGCTTTTATATATGTGTGTATATGAATTTATTTGTATATATACACGTATTCATTTATCTTTATAAACATGCGTGTGTATATATAGTATACATGCAACCATTTGGGTAAAAGGAGCCTCGCCCTGCGTTGCAGAAACCCGGTCAGAACTTGTGTACTTGAGTGACCTTCCGTTTGGTTGTAGTATATAATGGTCAGCAGCCGAGGGACCGGCATCAGTTCCTTCAGAATACACCAACATGAACACCAAGGTTAATAGCAGATCATTTTCAGCTATCACGGTTTATCATTTGTTTATTACTTTCATATGAAAATATTCATCATCAGGTAAAAATTTGGTCGTCTCTACTGTCAAATGTTACTTAATACTTGGCCAATTTCAAATCCTCGTCTTCCTCGGTCTCGCAGCCTTTGCCGCTGCAGACAGCTTTGAATCCTACGAATACAGGCCACCGCATGTAAGTTTTCCTTAATTTCTTCTCTTCCAGTCCTCCTGGTTAAAACAAATATCTAGGAATTATGAGGTATAATTCTAAGGTATGCTGACAATGTTATACGAATATTACATTAGATGCAAGCAAATAAAACGATTTTCTTTAACAGAGGTCCTCTGAGGAATCTTACGAGTCAAGCGAGGCCAAGTACGACTTCCAATGGGCCGTGAGCGATGACTCCTCAAGCAACGAGTTCGGACACCAGGAGGCCCGTGACGGCGATCACACTCAGGGATCTTACTACGTACAGCTCCCTGACGGCCGCCTGCAGACTGTCAAGTACTTCGTGGACGGCGACTCCGGCTACGTGGCTGAGGTTAACTACGAGGGCGAGGCTTCCTTCGAATCTGGTTCATCCGAATCTCGGGAATACAGATACGTGTACGACTCCAACGAGTCAAAATAAATCACTAGTCATATCTGAAATCTCATGTTTTGCTGATGGAAATTGCAGCTCTTTTTGTTCATTTTGTACAAATGTTTAATAATATATATGAATCATTGCACTCAGGAGTGTTTTTCCCCCTAAAGTATATGAAGGTCATATGATAATTCATAAAAAAATAACACCATAACTGTCTATATATGACGTACTTAGTTGTGTACTCTTATACGTCTCCGTAAATGCAATGTATATTCTTATATGCATTCGTTTTTATTATATATAGATGTGTTTATATTCACATACGATTTTATATGAATATATACATGTTTATAATTGTGTACATAAAATATATGTGTGCGTATGTGTGTGTATCTGTGTATGTCGAGATACGCCACATAAAGTGGCGTATCTCGACATTTCTGGACCCGGGGGCTTTTGAGGGGTTCCCCATTTTTTTTAAGTATTTATGAAAAAAGTCAACATAATAAAAAAAACAGCAACCTTATTCTTTTAACATGTGCTTATATAGATTAATGTACAAGTGACGGTATTCATTCATACTCAAATCAATTTTCCAAATACGATGATAAATACCCTGAGAGTTTGGTGACGATATACCCAAATAATCCTATCCACTCAATGCTAGTAAGTGTATTATATTCTCACATATTTATAAAACCCAATAACACCATCTACAAGCAACTGGCCCAATGAAATAATTTCCAACCTCTCTCTTCATGCTGATGGAGTAAAACTCCACCTCGCCCTAAGTCTGAAGCAAGTCTATAAAAACACCGAATGACCTTGGTCTAAGGGCTGAGGTGGGTAACCCTGGGCACCGCGGGATCAGGGGTATGAGGGTATGTGAACAGCAAATGTTGGGCTGAAAAAGGGAATAGCTAAAATAGGTGTATGTTTTTTTTTTTTTTTTTTTTTTTTTCCAAAGCTATCTCTTTCTCTTTCTCACATATATATGTACATATACATGTGAGTGTATGTATGCATATATGTGTATGTATGTGTGTGTGCATATATGTGTGTATATATAGATATATATACATGCAATTTTTTTATTAGGATTTGCAATTTCTTCTTTGCGAAAAGTATCATTTCTAGGGTAGTTTCGCATTTCAGGGACCAATTCAAAAACATTCCATGGTGTAAATCAAGTTTATGTTCCCATCTCAATCCACAATATTTTCATTAGCACTACAAGAGTAATATATATATATATATTTGTCATATTGTTGCATATAGGAAATAATAGATTCTTTTCTACTTTATTTCTATTGTTTGAAAAACTGACAGTGATTATTATAATTACATGATTGCAGACATATATTTTTGAATACCTAATGATTTCTTGTTTGTTGAGGCAGCTCGGCGGGCTGTGTACAAGGGAGAACGCTGGATACTGGGTTCTTAGCAGTATTTATTACTTCTGATCACAAAATTATGTGTGTGATTTGTCTGTATAGATTTTTATCTATCTTTAGTACCTTGCAATATCTATAATTGTTATTATAACTTGTACCATGGATTGTGAGATTGCCTAGATTTCAGTATTATGAATTGGATGTTTTCATGAATATAAGAATAGGATTAAAAAGAGAGTGTATTTTTCGTATAATTAGTAAGTCTGGATTTCTACTTTATTATTATCAACAAATATAGCTGAGAGGACTTAAAAGAATATAAACATACACTATTTCTTAGTGAAATAGTCACAAAATGAATATATATATATATATATTCATATACATACATATAAAGTATATATACTACGATTTTTTTTTCTATTCCAGTTTAAGAATAAAACCCGTTTCCGGTGGCTTGAATAACCTACAAGGAACCTTGAAATTCAGTAATCTGTTAACATAAAGGCTAATCAAACAACATCCGTCCCTCGGGTATAAAATATCCTGACCAGGAATTGAGGAATCTTTTATACCTTTAGAGAAAACCTTCCGGCTCATTGCATGGGAATACCAGAGGTCTTCCCATCGTTAAGAATATTTCTTTTGTCATATTGTTGCATATAGGAAATAATAGATTCTTTTCTACTTTATTTCTATTGTTTGAAAAACTGACAGTGATTATTATAATTACATGATTGCAGACATATATTTTTGAATACCTAATGATTTCTTGTTTGTTGAGGCAGCTCGGCGGGCTGTGTACAAGGGAGAACGCTGGATACTGGGTTCTTAGCAGTATTTATTACTTCTGATCACAAAATTATGTGTGTGATTTGTCTGTATAGATTTTTATCTATCTTTAGTACCTTGCAATATCTATAATTGTTATTATAACTTGTACCATGGATTGTGAGATTGCCTAGATTTCAGTATTATGAATTGGATGTTTTCATGAATATAAGAATAGGATTAAAAAGAGAGTGTATTTTTCGTATAATTAGTAAGTCTGGATTTCTACTTTATTATTATCAACAAATATAGCTGAGAGGACTTAAAAGAATATAAACATACACTATTTCTTAGTGAAATAGTCACAAAATGATATGTACTAAAAGTATATGTATATATATACACACGCAAGTGTTCGTACATATATACTATATACATATATGTGTGTGGATGTGTATATATACGTACACACACACATATAGTATATATATATGTGTGTGTGTGTACAAGCGCACACACGCATATGTATGTATATATATGCATGTATATACATATATATATACTTATATAGATAGATATTACATATATAGTATATATGCAACCATTCGGGTAAAAGGAGCCTCGCCCTGCGTTGCAGAAACCCGGTCAGAACTTGTGTACTTGAGTGACCTTGCGTTGCGTTCCCGTTTGGTCGTAGTATATAATGGTCAGCAGCCGAGGGACCGGCATCAGTTCCTTCAGAATACACCAACATGAACACCAAGGTTAATAGCAGATCATTTTCAGCTATCACGGTTTATCATTTGTTTATTACTCTCATATGAAAATATTCATCAGGTAAAAATTTGGTCGTCTTTACTGTCAAATGTTACTTAACACTTGGCCAATTTCAGATCCTCGTCTTCCTCGGTCTCGCAGCCTTTGCCGCTGCAGACAGCTTTGAATCCTACGAATACAGGCCACCGCATGTAAGTTTTCCTTAATTTCTTCTCTTCCAGTCCTCCTGGTTAAAACAAATATCTAGGAATTATGGGGTATAATTCTAAGGTATGCTGACAATGTTATACGAATATTACATTAGATGCAAGCAAATAAAACGATTTTCTTTAACAGAGGTCCTCTGAGGAATCTTACGAGTCAAGCGAGGCCAAGTACGACTTCCAATGGGCCGTGAGCGACGACTCCTCAAGCAACGAGTTCGGACACCAGGAGGCCCGTGACGGCGACCACACTCAAGGATCCTACTACGTGCAGCTCCCTGACGGCCGCCTGCAAACCGTCAAGTACTTCGTGGACGGCGACTCCGGCTACGTGGCTGAGGTCAACTACGAGGGCGAGGCTTCCTTCGAATCTGGTTCATCCGAATCTCGGGAATACAGATACGTGTACGACTCCAACGAGTCAAAATAAATCACTAGTCATATCAGAAATCTCATGTTTTGCTGATGGAAATTGCAGCTCTTTTTGTTCATTTTGTACAAATGTTTAATAATATATATGATTCATTTCACTCAGGAGTGTCTTTCCCCTAAAATATATGAAGGTCATATGATAATTCATAAAATAAATAACTGTCTATATATGACGTACCTAGTTGAGTACTTTTGTTCATCTCCGCAAATGTAATGTATATTCTTAAATGCATTCGTTTTTGTTATATATAGATGTCTTTATATTCACATACGATTATATATGAATATATACATGTTTATAATTTGTATATATATGATATATATAAACATGTATGTATGTGTGCATGTGCGCCTATAGATATACAGTGGCGTATCTTGACATTTCTGGGCCCGGGGGCTTTTGAGGGGTTCCCCATTTTTTTTTCTTTTCTTTTTTTTTTTTTTTGAAGTGTTTATAAAAGAGTCAACAGTTAAAAAGAAAAAAACAGCAAACTTATTTTTTAACGCGTGAATATATAAATTAATGTACAAGTGACGGCATTCATTCATACTCAAATGGTGAATGCCCTGAGAGTTTGGTGACGATATACCCAAATAATCATATCCATCCATTTCTGGTAAGTGTACTAAATTCTCACATATCTATAAAACCCAATAACCTCATCTACAAGCAACTGGGCAATGGAGCAATTCCCAACCTTTCTCTTCATACTGATGGAGTAAAACTCCACCTCGCCCTGAGTTTAATTCAATAAAAACACCGAGTGACCTTGGTCTAAGGATTGAGGTGAGTAACCCTGGGCACCGTGGGATCAGGGGTAAGAGGGTAAATGAACAGCAGATGTTGGGTTGAAAAAGTGAATAGCCAAAATTTGTGTGTTTTTCTAAAACTATCTATTTCTCTCTCTCTCTTTCACACACATATATATAGGTGTATCTATAACTACAAATATACATATATCTGTATGTATATATGTATAGGAATATGTATAAATATGCATATATACTCACACATGTGTGTGTGTGTTTTCGTATATGTTTAAGTAGGTACGTATATATTTGCATATATGGTAAAAAAACACAATTTACAAACTAATTTCATTGATAATGAAACAGCAGTTACGGCATCCACCTGGATTCGAACTATTCACACAAAATACTTGATACAGAGTATCTAAGTCTAGGGAGGCTGTTAAGGAAAAAATCCAAATGGGCCAAGATCATAAGATAAAGTGGTAGGCTTTACTAGCACTCACTTCGCAAATATCCAAAGAAGAAATTACAAATCTTTTATTAATGATTACGCAATAGATTAGAATAATTGTTTGAAATCCCATAGAAAACATTGTACTAGTGACAATATTATTGTACCCATTTTAATCATATTCTTGTCGTCAGGGTTCTTCTAACGTGAAAAAAAATGGGACCATTGAGGAAGGCCATGTCTATCCACTCAGAGATGCCCACTTTACTCGGGAGGACGAAGAAGAGGGGATAGGGAATTGACAGGTTTATTTTATTATATGTATATTGCGAAGAGTATCATTTCTAGGTTAGTTTCGCATTTCAGGGACCAATCCAAAGTTATTTCATGGCGTAAATCAGGTTTATGTTCCCATCTCATTCCACAATATTTTCTTTATCACAACAAAAGAAATATATATATATATATATATATATATATATATATTATATATATATATATATATATATATATATATATATATATATATATATATATATATATATATATATATATATATATATATATATATATATATATATATATATATATATATATATATATATATATATATATATATATATATATATATATATATATATATATATATATATATATATATATATATATATATATATATATATATATATATATATATATATATATATATATATATATATATATATATATATATATATATATATATATATATATATATATATATATATATATATATATATATATATATATATATATATATATATATATATATATATATATATATATATATATATATATATATATATATATATATATATATATATATATATATATATATATATATATATATATATATATATATATATATATATATATATATATATATATATATATATATATATATATATATATATATATATACATCAATACATATATAAACTATATATACTAAAAATGATTTTCTATTCCAGTTCAACATTAAAATCTATTTCCAGTGGCTTCAATAACTTACAAGGAACCTAGAAAAGCAGTAATCAGTTAACATATAGGCTAATCAAACAACATCCGTCCTTCGGGTATAAAATACCCTGACCAGGAATTGAGGAATCTTTTATACCTTCAAAGAAAACCTTCCGACTCATTGCATGGGAATATCAGTTGTCTTCCCATCATTAAGAAATTTCTTTTGTCTTATTGTTGCATACAGAAAATATTCATGGATTCTTTTTTACTTTATTTCTAATGTTTGAAAAACTGACAGTGATTAGTATAATTACATGATTGCAGACATATATTTTTGTATACCCAATGATTTCTTGTTTGTTGAGGCAGCACGGCGGGCTGTATGCAAGTAAGGACGCTCGACACTGGGTTCTTTGCAGCGTTTATTATTTCTGATCGCAAAATTATGAGTAAGTGGTGTGTGATTTGTCTAAACAGAATTTAATCTCTCTTTCGTACCTTGCAATTGTTATAATTGTTATTATAACTTGTAATGGATTATGAGATTCGCTAGATTTCAGTGTTATGAATTTGATGTTTTCATGAATATAATAGGATTAAAAAGGGAGTGTATCTTTCGTATAATTGGTAAGTCTTAATTTCTACTTTATTATCAACGAATATAGCTGGGAGGACTTAAATTAATATAAATATACACTATCTCTTAGTGAAATAGTGACAAAATGATATGTAATAAAAGTATGTGTGTATATACATGCATGTATATACATATATATACTTATATATATAGATATTACATATATAGTATATATGCAACCATTCGGGTAAAAGGAGCCTCGCCCTGCGTTGCAGAAACCCGGTCAGAACTTGTGTACTTGAGTGACCTTGCGTTGCGTTCCCGTTTGGTCGTAGTATATAATGGTCAGCAGCCGAGGGACCGGCATCAGTTCTGTCAGAATACACCAACATGAACACCAAGGTTAATAGCAGATCATTTTCAGCTATCACGGTTTATCATTTGTTTATTACACTCATAATAAAATATTCATCATCAGGTAAAAATCTGGTCGTCTTTACTGTCAAATGTTACTTAATACTTGGCCAATTTCAGATCCTCGTCTTCCTCGGTCTCGCAGCCTTTGCCGCTGCAGACAGCTTTGAATCCTACGAATACAGGCCACCGCATGTAAGATTTCCTTAGTTTCTTCTCTTCCAGTCCTGCTGGTAAAAACAAATATTTTGGAATCTTGAAGTATAATTCTAAGTTATGTTAACAGTGTAATACGACAATTACATTGGATTTTCTTTAACAGAGGTCCTCTGAGGAATCTTACGAGTCAAGCGAGGCCAAGTACGACTTCCAATGGGCCGTGAGCGATGACTCCTCAAGCAACGAGTTCGGACACCAGGAGGCCCGTGACGGCGACCACACTCAGGGATCCTACTACGTGCAGCTCCCTGACGGCCGCCTGCAGACTGTCAAGTACTTCGTGGACGGCGACTCCGGCTACGTGGCTGAGGTCAACTACGAGGGCGACGCTTCCTTCGAATCTGGTTCATCCGAATCTCGGGAATACAGATACGTGTACGACTCCAACGAGTCGAAATAAATCACTAGTCATATCTGAAATCTCATGTTTTGCTGATGGAAATTGCAGCTCTTTTTGTTCATTTTGTACAAATGTTTAATAATATATATGAATCATTGCACTCAGGAGTGTTTTTCCCCTAAAGTATATGAAGGTTATATGATAATTCATAAAAAAGATAACACCATAACTGTCTATATATGACGTACCTAGTTGAGTACTTTTGATCATCTCCGCAAATGCAATGTATATTCTGATATGCATTCGTTTTTATTATATATTGAGTTGTTTATATACACATACGATATATGAATATATACATGTCTATAATTTCTATATATATATATATAATATATGTATAGATATGTATGTGTGCATGTGCGCATATAGACATATAGTGGCATATTTAAACATTTCTAGGCCTGCAGGCTTTTGAGGGGTTCCCCATTTCTTATAAGTGATTATAAAAAAAGTTAACATGATAAAAAAACAGCAACCTTATTCTTTTAACGTGTGCATATATAAATTAATGTACAGGCGACGGCATTCATTCATACTCAAATCAATTTTCCAAATACGATGATGAATACCCTGAGAGTTTGGTGACGATATACCCAAATAATCATATCCACCCAATGCTAGTAAGTGTACAATATTCTCACATGTTTATAAAACCCAATAAGCTTATCTACAAGCGACTGGCCCAATGACATAATTCCCAACCTATCTCTTCATGCTGATGGAGTAAAACTCCACCTCGCCCTAAGTCTAAGTAAGTCCATAAAAACACCGAGTGACCTTGGTCTAAGGGCTGAGGTAGGTAACCCTGGGCACCGCGGGATCAGGGGTAAGAGGGTAAGTGAACAGCAGATGTTGGGTTGAAAAATGGAATAGCCAAAATAGGTGTGTTTTTTTTTCTAAAGCTATCTATTTCCCTCTCACACACACACATATTTATGTAAATATATATATATGTGTGTGTGTGTATGTATGTATATATATGTATGTATATACATATATATACATATATAAACATATATATATATATATACATGCATATATACATGTCTATGTGTGTACATGTACTTATATTTCTATATTTACGTATACCTATATGTGTATATATAGGAGTATCTATAAACATACACATGCATATATGTGCATATATAGGAGTATCTATAAACATACACATACATGTATGTCTATATATAAATATATATATATAGGTATATGTATAAATATGCATATATACTCACACATATGTGTGTGTGTGTTTTCATATATGTTTAAGTAGGTACGTATA